GCTGCTCTATCTGACTTAGAAAACAGCTGTGATCACAGAATCACCGAATGGTTGAAGTTGGAAGGGATCTCTAGAGATCATCTAGTCCAGCCAATGCTTCTCAAGCAGGCTCATCTACAGCAGGCTGCCCAGGACCCTGTCCAGATGACTTTTGAATAGCTCCAAGGACGGAGACTCCACAAGCCCTCTGGGCAACCTGTGCCAGTGCTCAGTCGCCCTCACAGGAAAGAAGTTTTTCCTCATGTTCAGACACTGCGTATGTTTCAGTTTGTGCCCATTGCGTCTCGTCCTGTCACTGGGCACCACGGAGAAGAGTCTGGCCCCATCCTCTTGACACTATCCCTTCAGATCCCTATACATGTTGATAAGATCCCCTTCTCCAGGCTGAACAGGCCCAGCTCTCTTAGCCTTTCTTCATATGAGAGATGCTCCAGTCCCCTAATCATCTTCATGACCCTTTACTGTACTCGCTCCAGGAGCTTCACATCTCTCTTGTACTGGGGAGCCCAGCACTGGACACAAGCACTCCAGATGTGGCCTTCCCAGGGGTAAGGGCAAGCATCATCTCCCTTGCTCTTCCTAATGCACCCCAGCATCCCATTGGCTTTCTTGGCCACAAGGGCACACTGCTGGCTCATGGTCAACTTGTTGTCCACCAGCACTCCCAGGTCTTTCTCTGCAGAGCTGCTTTCCAGCAGGTCAGCCCCCTAATGCACCCCAGGATCCCATTGGCCTTCTTGGCCACAAGGGCACACTGCTGGCTCATGGTCAACTTGTTGTCCACCAGCACTCCCAGGTCTTTCTCTGCAGAGCTGCTTTCCAGCAGGTCAGCCCCCAACCTTTACTGGTGCCTGGGGTTATTCCTCCCCGGGTGCAGGACCCTGCACTTGCCTTTGTTGAACTTCAGGAGGTTCCTCTCTGCCCAGCTCTCCAGCCTGTTCAGGTCCCTCTGAAGGGCAGCACAGCCTTCTGGTGTGTCAGCCACTCGCCCCAGTTTAGTCTCATCAGCCAACTTGCTGAGGGTGCACCCTGTCCCTTCCTCCAGGTCATGGATGAATACATTGAGCAAGACTGGACCGAGTATTGACCCCGGGGGACACCGCTAGCTACAGGCTGCCAACTAGACTTTGCGCCGCTGATCACAACCCTAATGATGCCAGTGGGGTGACTTCTGGCAGTGTAAAACTGGGATTTGATTGCTGCTGTTTCCACCCTAAACTCTCTTCCCTGTTAAAAATTTTCGTTCTTCTTCTATATCTTTTCAAAATGTTTCCATCTTTGTTTTAAAAATCTCTTTGAAGTTTCTCTGTTGCTGTTGAATCTGGATAATGGTCGTCTTCAACTTTTAACACGTTCATTTGGGTACTGATCATCTTCTGTCATCTTTTAACATGATAGTTTTGGGCAAACACCCTTCAGACAGTTTTGTGTGTTCAATCCATGCTCATGCTCACTGTCTGCACTCACATTCTCATTTTAGCAAGTGTTGTCCAGGCCATTTGCTAAGGGTATCTATGCAGGTACCCCCACAAAAACCTTCTGTAAACTCTTCATCATTGCTGGCACAATTATCATTTTTTACTCAGAGATTTGCAGGACCCAGTAGTTAACCTAGGTTTTCACTCCACTTTGAGTTCTTTCCTAAACTCTAATTCTAAACTCAATACCAGTCCTATCCTAAGAAAAGCCTACTGTCCCATAGCAGGGAAAGAACTAAGGTTTTTGTCTGCCCAGTGTTAGCTACAGCTCTCATCCTAAACCTGTGAGAGTTACTCAGGCTTCCAATCTCTGTGAACACTATGCGAGTGACAATGAACCTTTTTAATATTTGATATATTTACTCTTAAAAGAATAGGTGTTTTTGTCTGTCTAGAGCTGTTAGATGTTTTCCATCATTTGGTCTGTTTGCTGATTTTCTCACATTTCTCCTGCACAAACTGGGTTCATACGGTCGTTTAGTTTTCTAGGATGCCTTTTAGCCAATGAGAACTCTATGGCAGCTTTCTGTAAGCTGACACTTTTTGGTGAAGGTTTTATGCACTATGTACAACTTCTGTCATCTCTAATGCTGGAGATTCATCTAACTTTAAAATTGCATGTGGCAGTTAATAATATTCCAGTCACTTATTTCTACTTTTTTACAAAATACAAAGAAAGCAGAACTTAACATATTGAACATGTTGCTTATTCAGATTGATTTTTAAGTAACAAAAACTTTAGCCATGTATTCTAAAGGTGGAACACAAATTTTGAGGAAGTGCAGGGTAGAAAGAGCATTGAGTTTCAGGGAAAAATAAATCTCTTGGACAATCACTTTTGTGTATGTTGCATTACAAGCTAAAAGAAGTAATGTTGCAACCTTTCAGCTTCAAAAGAAGCCAGACCTACAGCCCATTTATGAAAGCAGAGATTTAACAGAAATTGCATAAGATACTGACAGTCCACAACAGGATTACCCTATCAGTCATCAGTGCCCTTGGTCAGATGGCGTGTCTATGGTGACAAGTGAGTCACAGGTCTCCTTTTCTGCGAGATCCTTAATATGGGTCAGATGAGCCCAAAAACAGCACAGTAGTTTTTCTTACTTTGCTTACAGCTTCTGCCATATAGCTGGACACATGCTAGTTCCACAGAGATCCTGGTAGGTCTCTAATTGCTGACAATTATCTAATTTTGCTAAGTAAATGTGTAGCAATCTTGCCACTAACCTCAAGCACATGAAATTCATTTCAATTTTATTTTTGTTTCCCAATGGACAAAAGCAGCACTTCATAGTTTTTGCATCATTTCTATGCAAGTTCTTCAACACTGGACATTCAATATTTAAAGGATATACATCCTTGCCAGTAAAACAAGTTTGGGACCCACAGCAGTACTACAACTCTTCTGTTTTGCAACTTGTTTTTGATTTTCAAAAGCCTAATAAAACTGAACCCAAAGTGACAGGCATAAAATGCCTATTCTTCTTTACAAAGCACTCTTGGAATCAAGTTATGGGTTTACAGATATTTTATCGTGGTATAAATTAGAATGTGAAATTAGTGGCTACGTTTACTTGTATTATAAACAGTGTGAGGGCATGGGCCGAAGCGTTAGAACTCGATATGGCTAAATTATTAGAGAGTTGCTCTAATAACTCTCATCTAGCACTTTTCCAGATGATTTATGGGTGCAGTTTGCAAGTCATTCCAGACTACAGACCAATAGGTAGTTTGGATGTGGCTCTGCTGTCTGAATGGTGAGAGTTTGCTACTACATATGTGACTAGTCTGTGCCCACTGACCTCAAAGTCAAAAAAAGGCTCTGACACTGCTCAGACTATTAGTATGAATGTATCCAGTGTATCTGTTCTATAGCAACTTACTGGTGAATACTTTTATTCTGTGATAAGTATTCTGTAATTAAAGATAGTTTTCTCTGTCTTTCATTTACTAGGGGGCTGGTACCACAGCTCTAATTTCACTCTAGTTAATGCTACATCAAGTCATTAATCTGTAGCTGTAGTCTTTAGCGAAACATTAAAAGCATTATAGTATGTAAAGATGAATAAAAGTGAAAGGATATAGTGGTCAGAGCAGTTAGTTAACCAGCATACTCCATTCCCATGTCCCATGTTGAATGGGAACATTCAATATGTGTGCTGGCTGCTGCACTAATAGATCTCCATCCAAAATTTCTATATTTCTGTTGGCCACTGTCTTTGTAGAAGTGTGCTGTGTGTATGTTCAGATCTCATTAATTAAGGATTTTCTTCAATATAATTCGTTTTTATTCCAGTGTGCATACTCATAAATCTCAATGATCTCAGTAAGATCATATCATATGCTGTATGTAGCACTGTAGCACCATCTTGTGTGAGCTGCAAATGTGGTTTCAAGATATGCATTCAGCAGTCTTCATGTGTGTCTATAAAAATTTTGTTTAAAACAAATATTTTAAATTTTGGCAGTAATCTCCAGAGTTGTTATAATTCTGATAAAGTCGTGCTTTCTAATCTATAGTATATCACATCTAACATGATACAGTATAATATGTATCCACCCCACTTTATGTGCAACTGAAATGAGGAAACAAAAAGATGAAATAGCTTCCCCTCATACGGTGTATGGCAGATCTCAGAAAGGTACATTCAAGATACCTCTTTGTTAGGATGATCTAATAAATGTGCGGCATGGGATATGTATTTTATCTGGTTTGTGCTAGTAAAGCACAGAGATTAGAGTCTTGATGAGAAATACATTGAAACTATAGTATGGGAAAGAGCTGCTAGGCAACATTAAAAAGTAGTTACTATGAAATAGGTTAAAGAGTAATAAAGTTGGAAAATGCTTTGAAATGATAGGTAGCAAACAGTGCAAGGACTCAAATCAGTATTCATGAACACAGTTGTGGTGCTTTGAGCTTTCTACATGTCTGGAAGGACATATGATCCTCTGAAAGAGGAGCAAAATATGGGAAGGCAAATGCATGAAAAATCTTGTTCATATGACAGAGCAAACAATAACCGGAGATGTGTTTGTGGTGCATCAGTTGCACTCCTGCATTTTCATATCTCGCAAGTACTTCTCTTGTTTCATCTTTTCATGGTTTGATTTGTGTCTAGCTTCTCTTCATTTTCCTTCCTACTTCTTTTTTGCCAATTTCAATATACTCAACAATTTATGTAAGAGGAATTATAGTATTACTCTTAATTCATGTTCAGCCATGGAGGAGGTAAGTGCTGCTTAATGCCATTGCTATGCATCCAGTTTACTAAAGCTGTGGTGACAGTTCTATTAAGCTCAGTTAAAAGAGACTTTGACAGTTAACTTTCCTTATTAACACTTTATCTTTTCTTTATGTCATCAATTATTTGGTATGCAAAACATACCAAAATCCTAGGAACTAAAAACACTATGAAAAGGAAATGAAAGTGCTGTGAATATTTTGTATCTTACAATCCTTAAGGTCACTGACTTAAGGTCAGTAATTTTTTTTTTTATTTATTTATTTCATTTCAGGTAATTCTTGGAGCAGTCCAGTAGAAGTGACAGCACTTTATTCGTTTGAAGGACAACAGCCAGGTGACTTATCTTTCAAAGCTGGAGACAAAATCACAGTCACAACCAAAACGAATTCACAGTTTGATTGGTGGGAAGGAACAATAGGAGGACAAACTGGCATCTTTCCAGCCAATTATGTTGCCATAAGTAAACTAAATGACTAAATTTATGTAAAGAAAGTGTTGAACCAATAGTATACTTACACATAAACTTTCCAGATTTATCGAAATGAGATTCCTGATCAAGACTATTCCAACATAAAACTGAAGTACATTAAATGACCTTACCTTTACCCGAAACTTATTTCTTAAATAGACAGTAGATGATGATAAATTTATGATGAAGTTCTATTTTTGAATAGGTTGCCCTAAAAAAATTACTCCAATTTGTGTCTAGTTTCAATTCTCTCTTGCTCTATGGATTTGGGGAAAAAATTACAAACAGTTTAAAACTAGACATGCGGGGGAAGTACTGGTTTCTATTAGATTATAATGTATGGTCTCTTTCTGTAATAAACTCACATTGATATCAAACTGTCTCTGAGTTTGAATATTCTACTTTTGCTAAATGGGCAGATTTTTTTTTTTCACAGCTATGGGAGAAGAAATTACCTTCATACTTGGTTTTAAAAATCACTTTAAGCATTATTATTTCTTAGTAGATACTTTAGGTCTGGTCCCCAAAGTTTTTCTGTGTCAGGCATACAAAGACTTTTTTTTTAAAAAACAACTCTGTAGCAGTTGAGCAGTTGAGCTTCTTTAATAGCTTGTCTTATATTGCCCTCTGCCTTGAAGAATTTAAGCACTTCTGAAAATTTGTTTAATCAAATGCATGATCAATACATGCCAGAAAATATATAGGCTTATGATGTCCCTTGGTTCCTATAAGAATTTGTTCTACAGCCAGGAAGCAAGCCTGAGAAAACTGCCTCATTGACAGATGAACATAAACAACTCTCCTGCTCCTTCCCTTATAAGACTTTTTTTTAATGTTTAATCTTTAAGGAAACAGCAACATTAGCTTAAAAATGTATAGCACTTAGATACCTTGTAATCCGTAGAGTTCAACTTAATTTTGAGTATCTTTGTAAATCAATGTCACTGTACAGATGTGATTATCGACTTGAAAGTTGGTATGACACACCAGAGCAGAGCTAAGAGTGATACTTGGAGTTCTTGAGAACCAGTTTAGTTTCTTTCTCAGGGCTGGATGTGCGGAGTTTGCCACTTACACAGAGTTAATGCCAAGATGATAATTGCGCATCTTCAGTTTGGGCTCTTCCCCACTTGAAAGTGTATTTTGTTAAGTCTTTTTTAAGTCCTTGTCCTAAAAGTGCCCTGAGTATCCCATAAAAGTTCAATGTGTGTGAACTTTCCAGCAGACAAGTTGCAGTGATATGATCTATTATTCACAGCTGGACACCAGGCAGACTTTCTCATTGTATCAGGTGCTGTATGGCTCTAAGTTATCCTATCTGAATGACAAGACTAAACCTAGCATAGAGGAAAACTTAGCGTTGTTACAAAGTTGTTTAGTTGCAGTTAGCAAAAGTTTCTGAAGTTCCCTCAGACTGGGCTGTATATTTTTGACAAACAAAACCGAAACTGAGACTGAAGAGACTGAAAACATAGGTGAGTGTGTTTACCATCTCTCAAAGAAAATCCTTTAGATTCTGCATATCACAGACAACATAGACATATGCAGTCTGTCTTTAGATACTGCCACCAAAAAAGATGCATACTGTTTGCGTGTATTTTCATCAGAAGGTGTTTTGCAACCGTTTGGAAAAAGTTACATAAGCTTACCTTATTGCAGTGAAAGTATTAATATATGTCTTTTGAAGAACTGTGGTAACATCCATCACCTTGAGGTAAGAAAGCAAATTCTGTGTTTGCATGTATTTCGTGGACTACATCTGTTACTTATTAAGCAAAGAAACATTGAGTCATCCAGTATCAAGGCTCAGTGAATAGGAATAGTAATGATATATATCATGGACCCAGAAAATAGATACGCTACATATTCATAAAGAATCACTCTGGTATTTATTATACCCTGTTGCTTCAGTTTAGTTATGCAGTACAAGCTTAAGAATCCACTAGCAGATTCGTGCTGTAGTACTTCATTAGTAATTTCCAGAATACTGGCTTCTTTTTCAGCCAATATACTTGCGTTCGTATAGGGATGTTAAAACTTCTTAAGTGTCTGCTTCCATGAAACTGTTGAAATTTATGAACTTCCACAGTACAATATTTTTATTGTTTATGTAAATTGAATTGCTTGGATTGACTTAGTTTGGGAAAAAAGAGGATTGTCTAATCTAAGTGTTCATGCTAGTCTGTAGAATCTGCAGTATGGTAGTGATTGATTATTAAATCCATACCTGGAAAATTCCTTTCTTCCTCTAAATATTACATAGGAAGGAGAAGCAGTGAATTAGCCTAATGCAAGAAATGACATTGGTTGTCAAAAACAAGCCTTCTTGTGGCACATCAAAACTCTACTGCCTGATTCTGCGTACCTTTGATGCACGCTGGCTCATTCCGTGTCAGTGGGCTTAGGCTAATTCCAAAAGAATTTTTAGTTAGTATGGACTTTACAGTAAAGGGCAGTCTGCACAATTCTGTGAACTAAAAGGTATGTAAGGAATAGGGTTTCTGCAGTAGATCTTTTTTAGTAGATTAAAAAAAAAAAAAACTGCAGATACATAGACTCCAGAAAGAGGATCATATTCTGGTAGGAGAGGTTTTCTATGAAGGAAAGTCCATGTGCATGTTCCTTTCCTACAGGATGCTTCACCTAGATCAGAGCAAAGAGAAGGTATTGGAGAAGATGGTACAGAAACCACACAAAGTACTAAATGTGTTTGTAGACCAGTTCTTTGGTTCGTGGCGTCCAGTCATTTTAGTAGGGGTCTGGGAGAATAGGTATTTGATGGATCAATTGAGTAGGTATCTCATACTAGAAAAGAAAATTGATACCAGCCAAAGATACAAAAAGCGAGGGGCAATTTGTGAAAGAAGCTTCCCCCCCTCCACAGATATTTAATCAGCTAGTTGTTAAGACAAAAATAGCATGTAACTGCTATGGAAAGACCTTTCTTCCACATGCATTCTTAATTAATGCAACTGTAATACTATTTAAAACGACATCATTGCTTTCAGCAATTCGAAAACATGTTTTGTAAACCATGTTTAGTTTCCTAACACTTCTCTAACAGTTTACTGTGGACATCATTTTGTCCATTTATGTTAATTTTTAATACTTCCAAGTACATGACTAAAACCATAATTACGTTGCATTCAAACTCTATTCTTTGCAATATCTGCTACTAGTAACATTAAAAAAATATTGCCAATAGGCTTTTTTATTATTTTAAAAATTAACTTTGTAGGGAATGTAACTGCAAAACTTTTGATCTGAGTGTCTTCTCCTCCTTTTTCTCCTTTCAGGTCCTTTGTTGACTGAAAAATACTTTTAGTAGGCATAGGCCTAAATTTCAAGGTTCTTTAACAGCAAATAAACATGTAATCCCATTCTCAGTTTTCATATCAGACCAAACATTCCAATAAAGTGAACCCTCCAAAAAAAACTTAGACCTGTCTTTCCTGGTTATCTGTCCTGTTTCACTCTTTCTGTATGTGTGTATACATAGACACACACACATTCTGGGATTATTTTGGATCCACGTTTTAATAAGGACCAGCTCAATCTAACTGAATGCCTTCTCCAGTGATGTTGGATTCTATTTTTTTTACTAAAGTGGGAGTAGGATGACAACTGGAAGTTCCTTAGGATTAAGTACTGGCATCTCATTGAAAAATGACAGTTTCTCGTTTAACAAGCTCAACAGTAGTTCTGATTATGTTTTTGCAAACTTGTTGAACTTAGTGTTTTTAAATCTGAATTGCATGCATTTCTATCAGTTCTATTCACAACTTCTGCCTATGTGATCATAAAGAGAAACATAGTGATGCCCGTGTAGCCTCTGCAGAAGAGTTTAGTCTGATCTTTAGAGGAACTGTCTGATCTAAATGGAGTTGAACTACAGCTGTTTATGTGGATTTACTGTGAGTATTTGGACGCACAGAACTTTTGTAAGGTAGACTTTTCTTCTGTGTTGTCTAGATATGGGCACAGCTTCCTACCTATAGGCATCTTAAAAAAAAAAAAAAAAAAAACTTGGCCGGCACATTTAGAAATCAAATTTGGTGGTATTGAAAATCTAAATTTATCCAGCACTTGAGTCTAAAAGATCATGGGAAACCATTTGTGAGTTTTTAATTGGTTCTTGCTCTTAATTGAATTAGAAATACTGCAAAGAAAACCTCTTGGGCTTTTCCCATGCCATAACTAATGTAAGAAAGTACATAAAAGGAAATAACAAGCTTCAGTCTTTGGAAAAGGTTTGAGCTCATTTCATCCCAAATTAAGTGCAAATAGTTGCATGAATGTGAGGGATGTATGAACTAGTGCATGCTAACCCTAATGCTGGATTGATACCCAAATGTTCTTTTTTAGCTGCCATTCATCCTGTTGTTCTTTGCTTACGTCTTTTTTTAACAGTAGAAATAAAAAGTACTGTTATTCCATAGACTTCAGAGGAATTATATCATCTGTATCACTAAGATAATCTGCCTTTATAACAACTTATAGGTAGTACTAATTTTAAATTTATCTTCAGTGATTCTTGAACCTTTTACCTGGCACAGTTCACATTCCATTTAACCTTATGGAAAAGGCAAATACTCCTAGCACAGTCATGTATCTTTCTAGCCTTCAGGATGAGAATTTGTTTTATGGAAGAATATATAGTGTATGTGGAAGGCATAGAGAGAAGCGTAGGCAGTAGCTAGAGGAGCTGAACGTAACTGGCTGCCACATGGAAGATTTGCCTAGGTAAAGAACCTACAATCCAGACTGGAGAACTGCTTCCTTGTGTTGAACCTGAGGAGGGCAGTGCCTGCAGTGGTGATGTGAGCCTGAAGGTCGTTTTAAGTATATGAAGTGTTTCATGTATGTAGTTAAAATGTTATTCCTGTCTTATGCATGGTCTTTAAGTAAGTGACTTGCTCAATGCTTGACAGTGTCCAGTGCTGTTAGGCCTAACCTTCCTGTGCCCTCCTTTTCAACATTTTGAGTAATGCTAACTGCTGCACTATGAAAAAAAAAAAAAAAAAAAAGAGTGGCTAGATAAGTAGCTTTGGCAGCCTACCCGTTCATATGATTTCTGTGGATGGAAGTTTTTGTTCTGTCCGATCAGATATACAGCCTTATAACAAACCGTGTTAGAATTCTGAGTTTCTAAACATACTGTTTTCACAATATTTGTATTGCCTTTTAGACTTTCTAAGTTTCATTTTCCAAATGACAGTCAAATCCTTTTCTCCAAGGGTTTTAAATCATTTTAGACTCTAATTGTTAAGCAGTTAAATGAGTTATGCCTAACAAGAAATTTAGATAATGCTAATGAGGGGAATAAAATAAAGCAGCTGGATGCAAATGTATTTTCAC